CAACCTTCTATAGAGTTCAAGTAGAGAAAATATCAGATAAAATATAAAGTTTTACTGCAAAAAAATATTTGATATTTATTTAGGAGATTTTAGGAATTATGCAAATGAAATCTTAAAATGTTCAGAGAAAGAAAAGTATTCTTAATCTTAATATGAAATTCACTTTGTCCTCTGATTAATCAATACTATAATACCATGTAATTAAACAGAAAGTTTTAGAAATGTGTTTAATTAATATTGTGATTTTTTGTTTACAAAAGATTTTTAAACTTTACTTAAAGCTTTCTAAATTTCATGAAGATAAAACAAGTATATCACCAGTTATAGTATGTATACCACCATGGTTAAATGGTTGTTACAAGGTTTTGTAAAATACAGGTGCCTGTCCTGAGAGGGTTAAAAGATCTGTTAAACACAATAATCACAATAATCCTACAGATGAATGAATGATCAGAGACTACCCTCTTATAAGGAAAATTTCTCCAGAATAGTTCGAAAACACTGAATGAGTGGGTTGATAAGATCCACTTTAGCTACATTTATGTTTGGTCACACGACAGCATCCAAAGGAATGATCAGAAGTAGCTAACATTGATGAGACGTGGATGAGGAGAACAAATACTACTTTTGCTGATTGTTTAAAAAGAAACAACTTCCAAAAGTAAATCAAAATGCTAATGTTCTAATCAGCCACTATTGCCATGCTTCTCCTGAACGGGAATCAAGTATGGGTGAAAATAATTGGAAAATAAAAGGGCCATGTTGTAAAAGAAATTGACACTGTGAGAACCACAGCAAAGAAAGACTACAAGGCAAAAATTATTCTAGCTAAAGGAATCAGGAGAGTGAAAGTAGTTGATAGCTATAATTAATCTTTAAAAAGAATGTTTCGAAATGAGACAAATCATAAGGCAGAAAACTGGCAATTGGTGAAATTAAAAAAAACAGAAGAAGATTTCTCTCCCCAAAAAATAGAACTAAGGGTCAAGAATTAGAGAAACAAGATGAATAGAATAATATGACCCTAATAAAAAACTATTAACATTTAAATGGTTTCTAAAAATTTCAATAGTTATCCAAATATTCAGGATAGAGTAGAAAATGTAAAGATTCAATAGTTGAATCTTTCATCATGTCATCAGCACCCTCAGGCATAAGAGAAATTAGCACATAAATACACCTGAGAAAAATATTAATTAGACCAACAGAATTAAAATTAGTTGACATATCGTTCTCTGCAAACAATGAGAAAAGATCAGGTATTCTGCAAAAGAGTGTACACGTGAAACCTATCAAGTACACCAGCAAAAATCAGAACTAATGGCCAAAATACATTGATCAGTAAGGATCGACATGCCCATGCAAGATTTCTTCCAGCTCACTTACAAAAGTCTATATTAATAAGGCCTCAATGAAGTTATAGAATTTCTAATTTGAAAGAAACACTTGCAACAATAATTACCATTGACTTCAGATTTATAGTGAGCAAACTTAAGTGCAACGATAAAATCTGAATTATGGCCAGAAAACAGAGCTCATCTATTGATGCAAGTGTAGTAAGTCACTTTGAAGGTGAGAGTGTAGAGAATTCTGGGTAGGTTGGGCAATGCTCTGCATTGTGTCAAGTATATTCAGGTCTTCCATTGAGTGATGCCCGACTAGGCTACCCCCCTCTAGTGAGTGACATGCTTCTTGGGTTTTCTCTTTTTGAAGTTATGTTTTCAGAAAGGAGTTCATCTCTACAGTTTCTTTATCTGCACCAGCCCCTCTATCATCATCATTGTAGGATTCTAACCTTTTGTTGTGCAGAGAGGCGAATGATGTTTCTGACGTTAACATTTTTCTTACCTGAAAATGTATTTCATATAAGTACTTACCTCTATACAATCTCCCACCTTTCCTCCTCTCTTCCAGTGTATTTCTTTTGCCATGTTAAGAATGAGCCTTTGTTCAAATGCTAGTGCTTATGGGGATTACTGCACTTTGAGGATGTATTGCTTTCTTACTGGCAGAGGTCTATAGTCTAATGATGATTATGTCATAGGCTGGTGCAGTCCATGTTAACATGTAGGAGTGTGAATTTCATTCAAGGCTTGTAACATGAACAAAGATCATTACAACAGTGGTGCTAGGTAAAGCTCTTCATTGCAACATGAACAAAGATCATCACAACAGTGGTACTAGGTAAAGCTCTTCATTGCAACATGAACAAAGATCATTACAACAGTGGTGTTATGTAAAGCTCTTCATTGCAAAAGAGGTGGTAGTATTTCAAATATATTTTCAGCTAAGGAAAACGTTAACTTTGAAGTTATCAAGTATATACTATTAAGAATCCAATTAATTGTGTGAAGATAAGTCTAGTAACTGATTTATAAATAACAGAAGTATTAGTTTTTAAAGTATACATCATATTTGTGAAACATTAGTAGTCACAAAAGTTGGGGAAAATGGGCCGTATTTGGTGTATGTTTTAAACGTTTTACTAATTTTTAATCTGTTGTTCTTTATATCAGTGTCTTTTGCTGCAACAGCAGTATACTCTTATGGCTTTCTTCTTCCACTGATGTTATGGGGACTTCTACAATACAGAGGAAGTGTTGCCAATTATACATTCCTGGAGATCCTCTGTGTTTATGGCTATTCTTTGTCTATTTACATTCCAATTTCAGTAAGTAATCCACCACGCAGACCATCTGCTTATTATATTTTTTTTCTTTTACTATTTGAAGTGCACACATGTGTGCTCTTATGAATGATAATCTCGATACAGTTATTTCCTTCTCTCACAGCCTTTGTTATCATAGTCTGAGTAGCTTTGCTGTACGGGTAAATTGATATTTTGCATATTTAACATAATTTGAAAAGTACTTTTGTAAAGAGTTCTATTCAATTCAGTAAAACTAGATACATTTATTCTTTATGTTTTAGCATTAATTTCCTGTCTAAAACCCATTGAAAAATACTTATTCAAATAGTAAAATGACATTTGGAGATGTTTAACTAGTTGTGCTATTTCCTCATATATATTTTGTACTTTTTACTGTATGGAATGGTAAGGTCCAGCATTATTTTATCTTTTTAAAGCACAGAATTATGTGTAGAATTGTTTACAGTTGTCTTCAATAGTATGGATATGGTCAGACATAAGTTAAGTATCAATACATAGCATGAAGAGTATTTATAGAATAATATCACAGCTACTAGTTTTTCTTTCGTGTGTATTTCCATATTTGTATTTTTATCAGATAACTACCATAACAATCAAATAAAAACTCCAACCTATAATTAACAGAATCTAATTCCTCAAGTCTTTATCATCATGCTTTATCTTGAATTAGTAATTATAAATGCACTTTTCATAAGTTTCATAACTATGTACAAAAGCAGTTACAGTTTCAAATTATTATATCATCTTATTGAACACACTTTCTAGAATAACATACAATAGCTGCCATGATATTATTTATACTTGAGAAACATAGGATCAATAAAATAGATAAACCCCACTAAAAAGTTTCATAATCCAAGTTTTTTTGTAAGGTGGGCCTTTTTCTCTAGGCGTAATTCCCATTCATTGTTGAAAAAAGATCAACATACTGAAGTTCTTAAATTATTGGGTCTTTTTAAGTGTAATAGAAGTTATAAAACACTTAAATTTTTCTAAAAGGACACCAAATTGATTTTCAACTAATAGGAACATTTGCTGCAAATTTATCCTTTTGTCCAAAAAGTTTTTATCACAATCATTTACAAGTAAAACACTCTCACTTCATCTTTTCAGAAACAGCAGGTGTGAAGATTGACTTTTATTATGTTATTTTAGAATGCTAGAAAACATCAAAGCTTGTGAGAATAGCAGCTGTTACATAAGTTGCTGGTTTTATTGTATTTAGCAGTCTATATTTTGCAAAGACAGGTAGTGTAACAAGTCTGGTATTCCACAAGGAGAATAATTAAAACATTAATACCAGGATTCTTAAAAACAGAGCAGTTATTACAACTTTCAATTTAAAACTCCACATTCTCAAATATTAGGCTTATGTAATCTCTTTTTATACACCTATTTTTGTTTGCTATGAAATGATAAGGTTACAACTCAGCATGAGACGATTATTGACTCTTATCAAAGCATCTTATTTATAGAGGGTTATATAGTAACATTTATCTACATATGACACGCAACTCATTTATATTACTACAGTTGCTATGACAAAGAATTAACACCACCCAATGTTAGTCATTTTGTCACACCGTAAGAGTAGTGTTCCATTTATGTTTAACATGGTGTAAGCTGGCTTCCTGCATAAAGAGGCAGGTCAGTGAAGTGACAGGAAAAGGTATTGTTACAACAACGACAGGTCACGTGATGCTCGTATCACGCCACTTCCTTCTTTAACCTTCATGAAATGTTGGGAGACTACTAGATTGGGGGTAGTCTTACATATATAAGACTGTCCAAGAAGCAACGGGAGGTAATGAGTAAGAATATTGTTGAGCACGTGAGAAGTTCGTTGTGAATTATAGCGTTTGTTATAGAGCAACTGTTGAAATTAAGTGTATCACAAAGTTGTATTCAGAAAGAATAAACCAGTTTTATTTAAGAAAGGACTTGTGTCGCTAAAGTTTTGTCGGAACGAGTTTACAGAAAATTAATTAACGAATGGAGACGTAACAGTATGTAAAATATGAATAAATTAACAAAAAAAGAAGGAATATCACCTCACAGTGGATAATAATGCACTGATTACAATTAAATATTGTTAACACTAGAGTGCTGATTATTATTATAGAACAACAGTGTACTAAAATGTGAAGGTTAATATTGTGTTCATCTCAAAAGCTAGAATTCAAACTTGGAAAGTGTAATATTTACATCCCAAGAAAAACAATTTCAAATGTTCAATAGTTCTGATATGTAGGTAAAGAAATGAGTTTTTACATGTGTCACAAGACTTTGAATATTATCCTGAAATATTTATTTTACTTAATGATAAAATTACTTTTATAGATTTGACAATATTGAAAGAATGGTCTTCTTTTCCATCTGAGGACTTTTTCTAGTTAATTTTCCTAGTTTGACATAGAATATGTGCTTCTAATTCTAAAATGTTGTACATTTTTGAAATACTGGTTCATATCAACTATTCCATATTATAAAACATAATCAAGTCAGCTAAAACATTTTCTAATAACTTTGTTTAAATGTAATGATTTTCTTGGTCATTTTGCAGATATTGTGGGTAATTCAAGTAGCATGGTTACAGTGGCTTCTTGTGATTGTTGGAACAGTGTTGTCTGGATCTGTACTTCTTTTGACGTTCTGGCCGGCTCTTAAAAGTGATAATCTTAAGGTATAGTACTGGTTTTGGTGTTTAATAATACACAGATTTTTAACCCTTAACTTTGATTTAACATTCACAGAAATATATTTGACAGCCAAATAATGTTTAGTAGCCAGATCAACTCTATATGTTTTATCCATTAAGGAATTTATATCATTGATATTACTAAGTTCTACTCAAAATATTTTGTATATATAAGACTATTTCTAAAATTGTGACAAACATCCCTATGTTGAAAATAGTTGAGTCATTTCATTTGTTAATAATTTTCTTGAGTTTATTAACTTCAAAGGTACATGAATTTTTTGTTAAAGTTATTATCGTTGAGTGCATTGCTTTAACTGTCTCTCCATGGGCATCTTTTTCTGCACATGTCATGAGGTTTTAGTCTGTTACATTCAAAATAAAATTAAACTATTTTCTTTTTAAGCTATACCAATAAATATAGCATAAAAACATAGCTAATAATCCATATTTTAACAGTATATAGGTTTTAAGTTCTTAGTTTTATTAGGCAATATAAAACAAATCTTGAATTCCCAATGTTATGAGAATTCTGACATTTTCTCTCTTTTCTAATTCATTTACCACCCCTCACAGAAGAACAAAATTGAATGTAAATTACTCATTATAGTGTTTTCATCAATTAGGCAAAGCATAATTTACATAGCCTTCAATCTTATTTAATTACAGAGCAATAAGATAGAAAATTGGTCCCCTCTTGACATGCCCATCTGTCACATTCTCTCTGACATTTAATGTTATATCATTTATAACCAATAGAAAGCCAAGGTTTTCATCTATCAAATGATGTATTATATTATGTTGTTTTCTATTGATAGAATTGTCAATTTTGCTCTCAGTTCAAGCTTTATTCCCACAGGATACACATCAACTAGCTTAGATGAATTTGTAATGGCTCTTGTTGCATAGTTAGATAGCCAGAAAAATTGTGATAGTTTTGGGATATTGTTTCCTTTTAGCATGTTGTTATTCTTGTTCTTTGGCTCATTATTAAATTAAATAAAAATTATTTAGTGCATTACTACCATTAGTATAAAAAAAATAGGGTTAAGTGTCATTGACAATCACCAGCAAAAAAAAGAAGACTCAGGTAAGTACTTTATTTCATGTTAATTCTTTATTTATTATCATAAAAATAACTAAAATGTAAAAATAGGGGTCTCTTTAGGTTGGTTAAGGTTAAATTAGGTAAAATATATATATAATAATAATATAAAAATGTTTCAGATCATGGGGAATAAAACAATAAAATTAAATTATCAATAGATGTATACTGTTGTGAGTTTAAAGCTACTTAGGATAAATGAATTTAGTTTCATCTTACAAGTTGAAGTCATTATAGAAACAAAAAGAGGGTAATTTGGATTTATTTAATTTTTTTTTTGGTGGTTACAAAGTCGGTTAGATTGACCAACCTTGTATAGAGTTAGGGTAGATAAAATAACAGACAAAATATAAAGTTTTACTGAAAACAAACATTTGAAATGTATTTAGGAGGGTTTTAGAGATTACTCAAATGAAATTTGAGATTTTTAATATGAAGAAAAGTATTTTTAATCTTAACATGAAAATCACTTTGCACATGGGCTATTCAAAACAAATACTCAATATATTCACTGACATATATTTGTTTAGTTTATTTAAAATACTTCACTGAAAAATATGATTTTTTATATGTGAAAGACATATAATGGTTACTGAAAGGCTGCTAAATTCTGTGAAGATACATATTAACTCTTTCAATACAGGCTTGGTCCCCATGACTGACCTTGTAACCATTTTGTGCTTATTATAGTTTTTATGCTATAACTTTCAAATTAGTTAGCATATGTTAATGAAATTTGGCAGATTATCAGTAAATATTACAAGCTTTCATACGCAAAATATCAAATTGTTTTATTAAGTTTTAAGGTTTGTAAAGCAATGTTTTTCTCATGCCTTTTTTTTTTCACATGTTGCCTATCCATCATGCAAAGTAAGTTTCATTTTAAGTTTAAAAATACTTTTATGCAGCAGAAAATATTAAAATTTAACATGCAAAGTCTTTATACAATGTCCAGATAGTTATCAAATGTTTTTTAAGAAAAAACTTTATGATAGCTTTGATATATGGAAAAAATCTGTTGGTTGAGTTCTTGCACAGATCTTAAAATATAATGTTGATAAATGGAAACATCGGCTCATGTAGATACGTAGATCTTGAAAATCGAGTTGTTCAAACTTGAAAATAACATTGATAACTGGACCAATTGTTGGTTGAGATGTTGCAAAAGAATTATCTGCGGAAGCTTTTGCCAGACACTAATCATAGCAGAGCCATCTGGAAAATGATCTATAGGAAATAGTACAGCTTATAAAATGAGTCAGATCAACGTAAGCCTGTAAGGCAATCACTGATTGGCATGTCCTTTAGCTAACCAGGAAATGTCACAGACCTACTGAAGGATGTGTAGATTGTATAGGAATTCTTTTTGGCAGCAAAGGACATGTTTATGTGTTTTAATAAAGGTGGCTTCCAAAATATAGAAATGAAAGGTTGACAGACCATTTGCAATAATTTCAAACATGCTATCTGTGTAGTTCTCAACACAAGTTGGGTTCACTAGTAAATGCTGGCCAATCGCTGATTCACATTTAGGTGGTAGAAATTACATCATATGATGTAACTTAACAGTTTTTTACTATCAACTCTATTGGTTGGAGATTTATTGCTTGTTATGGTACTGAAGGCAATTCAGAGCACAGTAATAAAACCATAAAACTGAAAGGAAGCATATGTAGAAAGGCTAGAAGTTGAAGCTGTTAGGATAAGTTATTGTAATTATCTGTTGCAATCTGCAGTCATTTTAGAAAAAAAAATCATTTTGATTTTATTTCATATTTTCAGTTTAACTGTATATTTATTGTTTTACTACAGTTAGTATAAGGGCAGATGAGAGATACAATGTCAAATTTGACTGAAAAAAACTTGATGCTCATTTAGGTGGTTCTAGAAGTAACAAAAGAAATATTTTTCTTCTTAAAAATCACCTTTCAGTCAGACTGACTCAGTAAAGGCATAATAAATTCACAGATGAATGTTTAGTAAATATTCTTTATTAACAAATCTAATTTTTGTGTACTAAAAGCTTGCCAAACTTTGTGAAGATGCACTTAGTACATTAACAGTTATAGTTTAATAGTTAAATTGTGGTTACAAGGTCTGTCGAATTGACTGACTTGTATGCATAAGATTAACTCTGCATTTGCCACCTCATCTCACCCAAAGCTATCTCGACCTTGATTTGCCCTCTAAGCATTGCTAAAATTTTTCAACAGCGCATCTGTCTTTTTATATCCCTTTATTTTTGAGCCATATCATGTGACTACCCTCCACCAATCATATTGTGCCAACTATACTATTGCAGGTAGCTCCCTCTACCATTACAGCACAATCCTCACTTTCTCGAATTTGTCATTCTAGTGTATAGACATGTGTTTTAACTCGTTCCACATGTGAATACAAGATTTTAATTATGCTTGATCACAACTTTATATCAGTTTCAACTTCATGTTTCGACTTCTTGTGTTTTATTTCTGTTATTTCTCCTTGTTTGTTTTAGAAATTTTTCTGTTTCAGATTTTCTACTTTGTTCATATGATTTCAAAATTTAATATGGTGGATGTTGAAGTTCCCGCCATAAGTAGAATACTAGTCCACAGGTCGATGATGTGTGCTGGGGAAGCACAGGCTTTCGTTTAAGGGGAGTACGTATCTTACATTCGGCTGACAATTTTTCCTTTCACATATGATTTTTGTGAAGAGGGATATAACTACTGTGTGGAAATTGTCCTTCTTTGGCATTTTCCATATGTTACCACATAATCTGCTGGGTTAGGTATTGTCTTTTCTTCCAAGAGATCTGTGGTCAGTTTCTCACTTCCCATAGGTATACCCATTTTCAGTGACCTTGTGAGGATGGACCTTATTTCCACACACAATAATTTATGTCCTTCTTTGGCATGTTCCATATGTTACCATGCCTCCACATAATCTGCTGGGTTAGGTATTGTCTTTTTTTCCAAGAGATCTGTGGTCAGTTTATCACTTCCCATAGGTATACCCATTTTCAGTGACCTTGTGAGGATGGACCTTATTTCCACACACAATAATTTATGTTCTTCTTTGGCATGTTCCATATGTTACCGTGCCTCTACATAATCTGTTGGGTTAGGTATTGGTTTTTTTTTCCAAGAGATCTGTGGTCAGTTTCTCACTTCCCATAGGTATACCCATTTTCAGTGACTTTATGTGACCTTGTGAGGATGGACCTTATTTCCACACACAATAATTTATGTCATTTCTGCTCAGTGTTGGTTAAGTTAGACTTTTATACTTCTTTTACCATCTAGGTTAATTTAGTTTAAACTTGCATTTGTAGTGTGATTATTTCTTTGTTTTTGTTTGCATTTTTACTTCTTTTCACTGTTAAGTTATTTTGTTTGTAAGTTCATTTTTCTTTACTCCTAGTCACATCTAATTGGGGATTAGAATAGAGTTAAACTTTGTTATTGTTAAATTGGTACCATTTTATTCCCATGTTCTTTAGGGTCAGTTTTATTTTTGTATCCTTTGTCCTATAGATTTTTTGGGTGAACTTGTATGTTCGATATTTTAGGGTTTATCTTCAAAGTTCCTTTAGTGGTTTGTACTTTGGGTGCTACTTATTGTTTTTTTGTTTTAGGTCGAATTTCATAGTTTTGCAGGTTTGTTGTTTTTATGTACTTTGTAGACTTTACACGTTTCTACATTTTGTTAGTTCATTAGTAATGAGTACTTTCTCTCAGTATGTTTATTTTATGTGTCTTTGGCTACACTTCATAACAGTTCCGTGGGCTCTACAGGTTCGATTTATGGGTTTCTGCCTTCTGGCACCCCCCTCTATCCACTTCCCAGATCTTCTTCCCTTCTCATCGGCATCGTACCTCGTCCAGTCATCTTGCCG